AGTCTGGTCTACGAGAGTCTGGTCTATGAGAGTCTGGTCTATGAGATGTAAACAACAGGACTAGCTGGATTAAGGAAGGAACCTGCACTGCTGTTCTTAATCATCATTATCAGAGTCAGAGTTTCTTTATTGTCATTCGCACCTCATGTGGTACATGTGGTGGAGCGAAATTATGTACGCAGGGTCCCAGTTACATCCAACAATAAAATGTCTAAAGTCTGTCTAAATCATTATCATCATCAGTGTGAACAGACAGACAGACAGACAGACAGACAGACTGCTGCAGTCTGGCCTCAGGCTCCTGCAGGTCTGAATGCAGCTCTTGTTCTAAAGTTTTCCGAGGAGCGACCCAGATTTTCTTCTTCTGTGTAAAACCAGCTTGGAGGAGGAGGAGGAGGAGGAGGAGGAGGAGGAGGAGGAGGAGGAGGAGGAGGAGGAGGAGGAGGAGTGGTGAGTGTGTTTTAAACCTTGAGTTTCTCAGTTTTTATCTTTCAGCAAATGTTCTTTAAATCGTCTTAAAACAGGTAAAGGGACAGTTCAGCTCTTTTAAAGCAGGGTTCTGTGAAAAGGTTATGATTAAATACTATCTTACATGTTGAAGGTAACTGAACGACTGCAGCAGACAGCTAACTTTTAGCTACAGCAACCCTTTTAGCTTTTAGCTAGTTGTCTGGTTCTTTTAGCTTTAACAGCTTAGTTAAGAAGGCAGACCAGCACACACGTCAGTTAGACCCCCGTTAAAGAATCTGATCTCAGTGGGACCCGTCTGCTTACATGAAGGTGAATGAATGAATGACTTCAGAGAGCAGCTCCTCGGTCTGAGCACAGACTTCATTAACTCTGAACAAACATCTGGAAAACATCAGTTTTCAGCCACTGGCCAAAAGGATGGACCAGCACAGAAGATCAACAGCAGCTAAAAGACGTGTTCATTTCTAACAATGCCCAGAGAGACACTTCATCCTTCGGCTGATTTCAGCTCTTTAAGAATCAAAACGTTGGAGCTGCTTTTCTGAACAGAACTCTAGAAAAGACTCCTCGGGTCATCAGAACCGGTTTTCTGTCCAAATGATCTGGATTTCAGATTTTAATCAGAAATGTTCTGAAACTGAGGAAAAACAGCCGAAGAACTTCAGAACCTCTGGAGAACCATGAGGAGGTTCTGGTCAAATCCAGCTGCTTGCAAGGAACATGTTTCCTCAGAGGTTCTGCAGGAGCTGAGAGCTCCTGAACAGAACCAGAGGTTCTGCAGGAACTGAGAGCTCCTGAGCAGAACCAGAGCTCCTGAACCAGAACCAGAAGTTCGAGGTTCTGACAGAACCCCAATCAGAGCAGGGTTCTGCTTCTCACCTGCTGGGTCTGCAGACTCTGGGCCGACCCGTACCGGCAGCGGGTGACGAAGTGCTCGCAGTTGTTCCACAGAAGGCTGTAGGCCACGCCCCCCAGCAGCTGCTCCGCCCCCCGGGCCACCTCCTCGCCGCCCAGCGGCCGTCGGTCCACCACCCGGTCCATGGCGTTCTGCAGGATCCCGGCTCCATACGCGAAGTCCTCCACCGAGTCCACCCGGACGCTGGCCCGCTTGCACAGAACCCCCAGCAGGAGCCGGGTGTTGGTCACCATCAGCTGGACCTGCTGGGGGTCAGAGGTCAGGACTGGCAAGATGTCCGGGATGAGGTGCGCCACCCGGTTCTCCCCCAGATAGATGCCGAAGTGGGTGAAGAGGGTTCGCGGGACCTCCAGCAGATCTCCCCTCTGGAACCGGGCTGAGTCAAAGCGGGGGGGCGGCGGAGGGTCCGCCATCTCTCGGGCAGAGGGGGGCAGGAGGCTGGACAGCTTGATGTGGGCCAGGAGGAAGGTCAGGGTGTCCAGCATGGCTGAAGAACTGCAGGTCTGACTCGGGTCTTGTTCAGAATCCGTCTGAGAGGACTGTGAGGGGGCTGAGGGGTTTGGTCTGCAGAGAGAGGGAGGGAGGGGGAGGGGAACCAGACCCAAACACAGAGGAGGGACCAGAGGAAGTCCTGGCCCTGAAGTGTGAATCCAAACACCAGAACCCGTTCAGGACCTGATCCAACAGTTGATTCATGAACATCTGTTTCAAAATAAAACTCAGGAAGCAAAGAAGTTCAACTAATTCTTCCAAAATAAAAGATTAAAAACACACATCAAAGATGAAAGATCAAAGAGCTTTGATGTTTGATTCTTATTCGTCTAAAATTAACATCAGTTTTGTTCAATTTAAAAACAACATTTATTAACAGAACCAGAACCGGTTCAATGCAGCTAGGTCCAGAACCAGGACCAGGACCAGAACTGGTTTAATGCAGCAAGGTCCAGAACCAGAACCAGTGTATGTAAATATATGAACTCTTACATCTCCAGCTGAGCAGATGAACTTTCAGCTCCTCCCAGAACTCCTGCACATGCACCCCTATACCATCAGCGAAGCAGACTTTCGAACTCTATACTGGTCCTGTTAGACCTCAGTGCTGCATTTGATACAGTTGATCACAATATTTTACTACAGAGGCTTGAATATGATGTTGGGATTACAGGAACAGCTCTAAAATGGTTTAAATCATATCTATCTGATAGATTCCAGTTTGTAAATGTAAATAATAAATCTTCTTCATACACCAAAGTTAGTCTTGGAGTTCCTCAGGGCTCAGTGCTTGGGCCAATACTCTTTACTTTATATATGCTTCCATTAGGTAAAGTTATTAAACAGCATGGGATAAATTTTCATTGTTATGCTGATGATACACAATTATATTTGTCCATTAAACCCAATGAATCCAATCAGCTACTTAGGGTGCATTCACAGCAGCCCTGTTTAGTCCACTTTAATGGAACTCCAGCTCATTTTCCTAGAAAGTCCGTTTTTTTTAGGGAGGTGTGAACGCGCCATCGAACTCTGTCACGGAACAAAAAGGCGAACTCTGGCCCGGGCTAAAACCTAGGTCTCTGTCCGGTAGAAGAGAACTCCAGCACGGTTCCAGTACAGTGTGAATGTAAACAGACCGGACCCGCTCCACAGGACAAACAAACACACATTTCTCTCATATGGAGCCGTCAGCTGACTTGTGTGGAAAACAATATTCTCCATGGTCTTCTGTCTCATCTTCTGCTCATGCTGAGTCCATTGTTGAAAAATGACAAAATATAACTCCTAAAACTGATAAAACTTGATGCCACTTCGTTTTTATTTTTATTTACAGAAGAAGAAGACGTGTCTTTAGAGGTTTTTGTGTCGTTTCTTTCAGTAGTTCTTGGTGCAGCGCCCCCACAGGCGAGCGGGGGAACAGGTTGGTTCAACAGGTTGGCTCGACTGCACAGTGCAGTGTGAATGCAAACGCACCAGCTCAAATGTAACAAAAGCTCATGAATATTGGTCCCGAACCGAGTCTACCGGACTATATGGTGTGAAAACTACCTCAGACTACAAGCATGTCTTAAAGACATAAAAACCTGATGACCCTTAATTTTCTCCTGTTGAACAGACAAGACTGAGGTTTTGGTTTTTGGACCTGAGCACCTTAGGAATGAATGTTTCAGTCTTTCTCCCTCCTTAGATGCATTAATCTGTCCTCCAGCTCTAATGTTAAAAATCTTGGTGTTATTTTTGATCAGGACATGTCTTTTATCCCCCACATTAAAAACGTTACTAGAACCTCCTTCTTCCACCTGCGTAATATCACTAACATTAGAAACATCTGATCTAAAGATGATGCAGAAAAACTGGTCCATGCATTTGTCACGTCTAGACTGGACTATTGCAATGGTTTATTATCTGGGTGTCCAAATACTTCTTTAAAACGTCTTCAGTTGATCCAAAATGCTGCTGCCAGAGTCTTAACTGGAGTTACTGGGAGAGATCACATCTCTCCAGTTTTAGCTTCTCTCCATTGGCTCCCTGTCAAATCCAGAATAGAATTCAAAATCTTACTTCAAACCTACAAAGCTCTCAACAACCTAGCTCCATCTTATATTACAGATCTTATTGTTCCATATTTTCCTAACAGAGCACTTCACTCTCAGACTGCAGGTTTACTTGTGGTTCCTAGAGTTTACAAAAACAGAATGGGAGGAAGATCTTCCAGTTTTATCAGGCTCTTCTCTTGTGGAACCAACTTCCAATCTCTGTCCGTGAGGCTGACACATTGTCCAGTTTTAAAACTGGGATTAAGACTTTCCTTTTTGATAAATCCTATAGTTAGGGTCAGCTTGGGTTTCCTGAGATGTCCCTTAGTTATGCTGCTATAGGCTTAGACTGCTGGAGGACAAACTGAGCACACTTTTCACTCTGCTACTGTCTTTACTTACTCTGCTCAATCTGTTTTGTATTTGTAATTATTTTTTATATCCTTAACATGTTTTTTTTTGTCTTTAAGGTACACCTGGACCTATATCTGGACCTGGACCTATATCTGGACCTATATCTGGACCTGGACCTATATCTGGACCTGGACCTATATCTGGACCTGGACCTATACCTGGACCTACCATTCTGTGTTCGTCTGTCTCTCCTTCCTGTCCTCTCAACCAGCCGGTCAAAGCAGATGGTCTCTTGTCCTGAGCCTGGTTCTGCTGGAGGTTTCTTCTTTTTAAAAAGGAAGTTTTCCTTTCCACTGTCTCCACTGTGCTTGCTCAGGATGGGAGACTGCAACGAAGCCAAGATTCAACTTGTCTGCTGGATTTTTTAGATAGAGAATTTTACTAAATGGCTTTTATGGTTGTGAATGTTCCTGTAAAGTCCCTGAGACAACTTTGTTGTGATTTGGTGCTTTATGAATAAACTGAATTGAATTGAATTGAACTCATGGTCTCTCTCTCTTCACTACGGAGGATTTGGACCTGTCTGACCTAAGAACAGTCCTGGATTTCACCTCGGTCCACTTGAAACAAGCAGTGGTTCTGGAAGTTCACATCTGCTTCTTCTTTGTCTGATAGAGCTTTAAGCAGCATGTAGACGATGATCTGTGGAAGTGCTCCTGATCCCAGAACAGAACCAGAGAGTCAGAGATTCTTTATTGTCATTCGCACCTCATGTGGTACATGTGGTGGAGCGAAATTATGTCCACAGGGTCCCAGTTACATCCAACAATAAAATGTCTAAGAAAAACAGTAATAACATCTAAGATATGAACTAAGAAAAACATCAACTAAATATACACTAAGCACTCATAACATAAAACATTGAACATCAGCACAAACATGAACATGAGTCTGTGAGCAGATGTGCATGCATGAACACATCAACATTGAAACAGATCAGCAGCAACATGAAACAGATCAGCAGCAACATGAAACAGATCAGCAGCAACATGATATGGTTTTTCACAGTGATTATTCTAGTTAGAGATTCATGAGTCTAACAGCCTCAGGGTAGAAGCTGTTCCTCAGTCTAGTGGTTCTACACTTAATGCTCCTCAACCTCCTTCCTGAGGGGAGCGAGGCAAAAAGTGTGTGTGCTGGGTGAGTGAGGTCCTTCATGATGCAGGTGGCCCTCTTCCTGCATCTGGAGGTGTAGATGTCTGTGATGGTGGGGAGACTGACTCCAACATCTTCTGTGCAGCCTTCACCACTCTCTGCAAAGCTTTTCTTTCTGCAGCTGTGCAGCCTCCATGCCACACATTGATGCTGGAGCACAGGATGCTCTCCACTGCACACCTGTAGAAGGAGGTGAGGACTGAGCTTCCAGACCAGCTCGCCTCAGCCGTCTGAGGAAGTAGAGTCTCTGATGAGCTTTCTTCATCAGGCTGGTGGTGTTGTTGCTCCAGCTGAGGTTGTTGTTCAGGTGCACACCCAAGTACTTGTAGCTGGAGACCACTTCCACCGCAGATCCTCTTATGTTCAGGGGGTGTAGGTGTGTTTGTTTCTTCTGAAGTCCACAATCATCTCCTTTGTCTTCTTCACATTGATGTGAAGGTTATTCTCTCTGCACCAGCTCTCCAGGTGTTCCACCTCCTGCCTGTAGCTGGACTCATCATTGTTTGTGATGCATCCCACCACCGCTGTATCATCTGCAAACTTTACAATGTGACAGCCTGGATGGGTAGCTGCACAATCATACGTGAGCAGAGTGAACAGGAGGGGGCTCAACACACATCCCTGAGGAGAGCCAGTGCTGAGGGTTATGGTGGAGGAGGAGAAGTTGTGGATCCTCACTAACTGTGGTCTGTTTGTTAAAAAGTCTAGTACCCAGTTGCAGATGGAGGGGCTTAGTCCTAGTGTGGATAGTTTGTCCATCAGGGTTTGGGGGATCATGGTGTTGAAGGCGGATGTGAAGTCCACAAAGAGCATA